ACCCACTTCTAACAAAATGAGACTGGATTTAAGGCACAAGTGCTAGAATGGCACAGCTGGAGTGTAGACTCAGCTAAACTGTATTTACTGTTCAACCACTAGGTGGTGCCATACATTACCTATTCAACTTAATCTAACAACTGCTATTCCTAGAGACGCACAGTGGAGGAGCTATTGCTTACTGGGCCAACTTCTCTTGGTGAGAAGCTTTTGAGTCACCCAGAGCTGCTCTTAAGCTCAAAATCTTCTTAAGCTCTCCCCCCACAGAAGTTGGTCCCATAACCACTATTACCTCTCCCACCTTGTCTTTCTAATGTCCTGGGACCGACATGGCTGCAGCAACACTGCATACGCCAGCCATTCCAAGCAGTACGTTAAAGGATCTCCTGGCAGACACGGCTCCAGTGTATCTGCCTGACCCAGAGGCTCTGTTGGTAGTCCATATCTGGTACAAGAGCTTGACCTGCAATCTGCTGTGTATAAGATGTACATGGCTCTTAGTACAGTGACAGAATTAGCTTTTCCATAGTTGTAGTAAATCCACCTGCTTGAGAGTTGGTAGCTAATCAATAGATTTCTTCCATCAAGCAGCTGTATCTACAGTGGGGTTTGGCTCAACCTATATCACACAGGATGTGAAATTTTTCACAGCCCTGAGCTATGTAATTAGGTTGACCTAAGTTTAGGTATAGACCCATCCCAGGGAATGAAATAGTTAACAATGCTAACATTTCAAATTACCCCCTACTCAATGAGGGTGTCTACACTGCACACTAAGCCAAGGTCTACGGGACCTAGGCTTGTGGATGTGATGTTTCCAAGCCCTCACTTGAGCATCCACACGGCAATGTAAACCTGTGTCTCTCAGCCATGCTAGTCATCCATGCTGCACTACACAGACCTGACTCAAGTCTGCTGCTTGACCTGTGTCCCTGCTGCAAAATGACAGGGCTGAGACCTGAGTCACAGAGGGACGTGAGCTCTGACCCTTCCCTTAGCAGGGTCCTAGGACCCATGTCCTGAGCATTTGCTGATGTGAGTCAGCCTGATTTGTGTGTGGACAGAAGGGAGATTTGGGCTCAAACCTGAGTCAGAGCCCAGGCTTATGCAATGTAGGCATCTGGTAGGCCCTCAGTGAAATGAACAGGGCCATTTACACCTTTCGGAGTGATTTTTTTTTCTCTCTGCAGACTCTGAGATGTCCCTGCATCTGTTTATACTCGGGTCACACATTTGAGGTTTTCTTCACAACCATGAGAGCTAGACACTTATCTTATTCTCCATTAAAAACCTCTATAGAAGTGGTGGTATGCGGTACTGGCTATTTCCAAGGCCTGATCGTCTTCCTCAGTGGGACTTCCTGCAAAGTAAAGAACTACCTCACTCTGAAGGATAGTAGAATCTGCAGATTGCATGTATCCAATAGCTGGCTTTGTAAAGAGCCTGGGCCATTGTAAATTTCTATTTAAAATAGCTGTGTGGATGAGTTGTCATTTACAGACGGATATAAAGGATATTCAAATTACTGGTGCATAAAAATGGGGTATTTATAAAAAGGGGGCTGTTCCTTTTTAAAACATTGAATTTTGTTAAACAGAGGAGCATTCTAGGAATAACTTAATTTGTTTCCTAGCTGATTTTTTTTAGTTAGGCCAAGCCTACTGCCTGGCTTAAACAATCCCTCTTTACAAAATATTTCCTTTTTTAGCTAAAAGTTGTCTGTTCTTCGTGGGTTGCATGTTCAACCCTGACAACCAATGGGAGTTGTCACGGTTTCTTCCCCACTTTGAATGCTAGGGTACAGATGTGGGGACCTGCATAAAAACCCCCTAAGCTTATTTTTACCAGCTTAGGTTAAAACTTCCCCAAGGTACAAACTATTTTACCTTTTGCCCTTGGACTTTCACTGCCACCACCAAACGTCTAACAGGAATATAATTGGGAAAGAGCCTGTTTGGAAATGTCTTTCCTCCCAAATCTTACACCCTTTTCCTGGGGAAGGTTTGATTAAAAATCCTCACCAATTTGCATAGGTGAACACAGACCCAAGCCCTTGGATCTTAAGAACAATGAAAAAAGCAATCAGATTCTTAAAAATTTTAATAGAAGAAAAAGTAAAAAGAATCACTCCTATAAAATCAGGATGGTAAATACCTTACAGGGTAATCGGATTCAAAACCTAGAGACTCCCTCTAGGCAAAACCTTAAGTTACAAAAAGAGACAAACAGGAATCTACATTCCATTCAGCACAGCTTAATTTTCTCAGCCATTTAAAGGAATCGGAATCTAACGCATATCTAGCTAGATTACTTACTAAGTTCTAAGACTCCATTCCTGTTCTGTCCCTGGCAAAAGCATCACCCAGACAGAGAGAGAGAGGCTTTGTTTTTCTCTCCCCCCAGCTTTTGAAAGTACCTTGTCTCCTTGGGAATTGGTCCTGCTTTGAGCAGGGGGTTGGACTAGATGACCTTCTGGGGTCCCTTCCAACCCTTATATTCTATGATTCTATGATTCCTCATTGGTCATTTTGGTCAGGTGCCAGTGAGGTTATCCTAGCTTCTTAACCCTTTACAGGTGAAAGGGTTTTTCCTCTGCCCAGGAGGGATTTTAAAGGTGTTTACCCTTCCCTTTATATTTATGACAGGAGTAGTAATCCACATTTAAATCTGATACCCCACACTCAAATAAGGGAAAGGTTAATGGGAATGTGCCTCTTTAACAGGTTACATAAAGTTATTTAAAATCTATGGTAAATCCACAGCTTCCTTTTTAGTTAACTTTCTTTAATTTAAAAAAAAGCAGGCGTTCTTGGGGGGGAGGGGTTAATCTTAGAAATAATAATACTCAGCAATAATATACCACTTATTCTCAAAGCACTGTGCAGTCATTTATGGCATTGATTATGGGTTTGCACTGGTGGTGTAGCCATGTTGATCCTAGAATATTCAAGACAAGGTGGGTGAGATCTTTTATTGGACCAAATTCTATTGGTGCTTTAAAAGCTTCTCTGTTTCACCAGCAGAAGTTAGTACAATAAAATAAATGACCTCGCCCACCATGTGTCATTTATTATGGATAACTTTGACTGTTATACTCTGAAAAGTGACTAAACTTTTAGTCAGGAGTGTCCATCTTTATTGACTCTGATGCTAAAGCAGATTTGGGTTGTGTCTATGCTACACAGCCTCTGTTGGTATAGGTAAATCGCCACAATCCCCTGGCATAGATGCAGTTTACACTGACAGAAGGAGTTTTTCTACCAGTGAAGAAATACCACCACCAGAATGATGATGTTCATGCCGACAAAAGCACTTCTCTGTCAGCATGGCTGCAAGGACTCTGGGGCTGTTGTCAGCATAGTGGTGTTAGTCAGGACTGTTAAAACCACACTCCTGACTGACATAGCTATGCCAATATAAGCTTTAAGTGTAGACCAAGCCTTGAGTGGCTTGTGTAAATGATGAATTTCTAAACAGCCAGCCTCATAAGCTCAGCCTAGGGTCCTATAGCTAAGGTGATGAGCTAATAAAAAAAAAATCTCATACCTATAAATAGGGTGCAATCTAAGGTGTACATCTCAAGATAAAGTTTGTGCTCTTGGAGCCTAGCTAACGATTCCATTGGTAATGGATGGGCAGGACTAGGATCCAGCTGGGTCTTACCCTCACCCGTAGCTGGGTCAACTCCTCAATCTCAATAGGAGAGAAAAGCAGTAACGCCTATCTGTTACTAGGCGCTAACTTGTCCCTGGACCTGCATAGGGGTGTAGGAGGGAACAAACCTTACTCCAAGCCGCATCCCGTGCCACGTATGTTAGAGCAGCACAGTGAAATAAGAGATGCTGGGAACTAATGCTGGCAAAACTGTTCGGTAAATGAGTGCAACTTGACATCGCTGGAACCACCTGCTGGGCACTCAGGCTAAGGCCTTGTCTGCACAGGGAAGCTATTGAGAAATAAGGGTGTGAGAGTTTTTAAGGAGTAGCAGCTATCCTGCACTAACTCCCTGTGTGGTCATTTCTTTTCACACTGTGGTTTACTGTAATCCACTTTGGAAGTGGATTAAGCCAAACTGGATGAAGGCAGTCAGTGTACAATGAATGTCCATGTGGGGAGTTTGTGTGCAATAGCTAATCTGCACTATCAAACCCTTAGTGTTTCCAAAGCACCAAATGACTTTGGGTGCCCAGCTTGAGATACTTTATCAAAGGGGCCTGGTTCTAGACTTTCTTTGGTCCAGTGGTTAGAACACTTGTCTTTGACTTGGGAGATGGGGGGTTGGGGAGGGGTCCATTCACCATCCGCAAAAGCAGAATGATAGGACTCCTGTACCTCACAGGGGGTTAAGCTAAAGATTGAGGAACTCAGATGCTATGATAGGGTGAGAAACATAAGTACTTGGATGGATGGACCTAGAATTTCGCAAAAAGAAAAGGAGTACTTGTGGCATCTTAAAGACTAACAAATTTATTTGAGCATAAGCTTTCGTGAGCTACAGCTCACTTCATCGGATGCATTTGTGGCAAAGTACACTGTATCTGAACTCACAAGCACCCCGTTTGTTCCTCTTAAAATTGCATTATTTTTGTTGGCTTCAGCGCATTAGGAACATGTCAACAAAGCAGATGCATATTGGTTTTAGCAAAACTGTGATCAAAAGCTCTCGCTCTCTCTTTGCTAGGTTTCTGTGCCATCTAGTGGTGCCTCTAGACATCACTGAACTGAAAGCTACTTGTTGCTCCTGCTGCTTCTGATCTGTTTGCCTCTGTTTTACACTGCTGTTCCTCCATTGCTTTCAGTGGAACTACTCCTGATTTACACTGGTGGAAGAGCAGAATTAGGCCGTGTCCTGCTGCATGAGTGAATTAGCAGTATAACAGGCTATAATTCTGTGAGCGCTCACTTTGTCAAGTGTGTTCCACAGCATAAGAGGCTTTGAGCCAAAATTAAAACAAATGCTAGTCTATATGAAAGAAACGATTGAAACGTAAATTTCAGCATGGGACTAACTGTGCCCTAATTTTAAAAAATAGGCAGTATGTGGTGGTAAGAGGCAATAAATTTGCCAATACAGCCCACTGTCAAAGTTGGTTGCTTTTTGCTGTAATGGGACACATTTACCCAATAGCATATTCCCCTCCCCCTTAAGCTTTCAGCTTGTTTTGCTAGTAATGAGAATCTCTATCTGCAACTACAGCAGGAGACTATTTTTAACACTGTTAACAAGTGATTAGAAGACAGGGTGGAGTATCAAACCAGTTTCCAGCCACCCAGGAAAATTATCACATCACAACAGCAGAGGTTGGAACATGGTCATCTCACCCATGAAGGAGTCAGAAGTCTGCCTGCCTGTCTACAAATATAAACAAGCAAAAGAGAATTTCAGACTTTTTGGTAATATAGTCTTTTAATTTGATCATTTGGCAAGAGTGTATTGTAGCTTCTTATACAGCAATCACCAGGATTACATATGAAACAAGTGTGATTAATTTAACATAACTCTTCAACTTGATGCCTTCTAATAGAGCTGGCAGAGCAGATAGCTTTGCCACAGTGTGTAAGGACTTGTCTGGAATACTTTGTCATGAGCCTTTGGACTTGTTATAAATTCTTGCAATTATAAATATGGAGAGCCTTCATCTGATCTTCACTGATCCTCATCATGTAGAGTTTGTAAATTGATAAACACAAATACTCAGCAAACTGGTATTTTAGATCACTACAAGTTCCCTTCTTTCCCCAAAGACTGAGTGTAGGGATTTTCTTTCTGGGATAGTTCACAGGAGCCTGAAAACCTAACGATGTGGATTGCAGTGTAGTTGTATCTGTACTGATCCCAGGATATTAGAAAGACAAGGTGGCTGAGGTAATATCTCTCATTGGACTAACTTCTGTGGTGAGAGAGACAAGCTTTTGAGCCACACAAAGTTCTTCAGCTCTGGGAAAGGTACTTGGTCTCATAGCTAAATGCGAGGTGAAACAGAATGTTAACCACCAGGAGTTAATGTCCGATGAAGTGAGCTGTAGCTCACAAAAGCTTATGCTCAAATAAATGTGTTTGTATGCGCAAAAAGAAAAGGAGTACTTGTGGCATCTTAGAGACTAACACAGCTGCTACTCTGACACCAGGAGTTAACACATGTTGCAATGCAAGAGATCATTCAAGGTAAAGTAGGCAGCTAACACCTCTGCAGTCATAAGACAAAGGCAGGTTACAAATTGTTGTAATGAGCCATTGATCCAGTGTCATTACTAAGTCAATGATTTTTAGTGTCTATCAAAGTTATGAATTAAGCTCCTAGGATCATCTTTGGAAGGTTTCTTTGAGGACAAGGACAGAGGTCAGATATGGAGTGATTTGTCTTGTAAAAAGTGTTTGCCCATGGGTGATATGGTAATTTTGTCTTATCACTTTTCTGTGAGTGGTTCATGTGGGAGCATAATGATTCTCATTTCTTCTACCTAATTTTCGGGGCATTTGATGCACTGGATGAGGTACATCACATATGATAGGCATGAGTAGGACCCATGGATCTTGAAAGGTGTGTTGCAGGGTAGAAAGGTGTATTGATCATCATAGCCCTGGAGATATGTCTGCAGGTTTTGCGTCTGTTATGGCAAGGTCTAGTGCAGTGGTCACCAACTGGTCGATCCTAGAGGATCTCCCAGTCAATCACGATCTCTGGTGGTGCAGTGTGGCTGCTGCTAAGGCAGACTCCCTGCCTACCCCAGCTCCACGTCACTCCCAGAAGCAGCCAGCATGGCCCTGGAGATGGGGGGGGGGTGTCCGGCTGCAGGTATCTCCCTCTGCATGCTGCTCCTGCCTGCAAGCACCACCCCCACAGCTCCCATTAGCCAGGAGAGCTGCAGGATTGGTGCTCCCAGAGAAGGGCAATGTGCAGAGCCACGTGCTCCCCACCCAGGGCCTGCAGGAGCATGTTGTCCCCTCTTGCACCCCAAACTCCCTCCTGCACCCCCAGCCCTGATCCCCTCCCAGAGTCAGCACCCTGTACCCCCTCCTGCACCCCAACACTGTGCCCAGTCTGGAGCCCCCTCCTGCACCCAAACTCCCTCCTAGATGTTGCACCCCTCCCCCCCCTCCCCAACCCCCTGCTCCAGGCTCAGCTCAGAGCCCCCTCTACACTGCAAACCCCTTGGCCCCAGCCCAGAGCCCACACCCCCTCCCGACCCCCTGCCCCAGCCTGGTGAAAATGAGTGAGGGTGGGGGAGAGCAAGCAATGGGGGGGGGGGATTGAGTGAGTGAGGCGGGGCTTTGGGGAAGGAGCAGGGCTTTGGGGAAGGGGTGGGGTAGATCCTGCGTTGCCCTTAGATTCAAAAAGTGATCTGGGGCTAAAAAGGTTGGAGACCACTGGTCTCGTGCCTCTTTGAATTGGTGGGCCCTGGTCTGTGGGGAGCTTGTTTCTGATGGTGCTTGGAGAGGTTGGGAGTTGTTTGAAGGCCAAAAGTGGAGGTTCATGAAAGAAATCTTTCAGGATATGATCCCCATTGATTATGAATTGTAATTATAAAGGGCAGGTCTTGACTACAAAATTATGTCGACGTTATGTCAACGTATTGTCACAGCATCGGTTTTACATGACCACACTATGCTCCTTCTGTTGGCAGTGCACATCCTCCCCCTCTCCCAGGAGAACTTTCACTGATTTATCTGTCAGTGTGGGGGGTGGACCGACAGCCAGAGCCCCGTTGCCAGGGGCTGACAGTCTGATGTAAGCAACACAGTGTCCACCTAACTACATTGACCTAAGCGCTATGCCTCTCATGGTGGTGGAGTTAAGACGGTGTAATGGGCAACTTACATTAGCAGGAGCAACATTGTAGTGTAGACCAGACTTTAATGATACCTCATGTGGAGTGGTATGTGACAACCACCTTGTCTTTCTATCAATATGTCATGTCTTCCATAATGCTTTGCTGACTGGGTCAGTGTTTTTGTGCATATTCTGACTTGGAAAAGTCACTTCCCCAGTAAATGGGAGGTTGCTACTGAGATTGTGCTGATCAAGATGTTACCTGTGACTTTAATGCCTGAGAGCATTTCCATTTCTGACCCTTCTTCCCCTTCTCACTCCCACCGAACAGTTTCTGCAGAGGAAATAGAGAGGTTGCACTAGTATTTAAGAAAATCAGAAGTCATTGGTTGCTGTCCATTATTAGATAGGAGTGGACATGTCTCAGTACTCCTCACCATAGTGATTAATCATTTGGAGCTGAAACTGAACAGAAATGTGGGATGCACCAGATGGTAGTTACAGAATGCAATATAATATTTTGCCAAGTTTTTGTTAGGAAGAGAATATGTAGAGCATGGTAATGAAGACATCCTCTCCAGAGGGAATAGTACGTCAGCATAATCAGAAATACAATTGTGGATGGAAAGTCAAAAGCAGCAGCAAAAAATGCGCTCAACCACCAAGATTGTTGGAATGCAGAGATGTTGTAGCCATGTGGGTCCCAGGATATTAGAGAGGCAAGGTGTGGGAGGTAATATCCTTTATTGGACCAACTTCTGTCGGTTTGTCAGATTACAGGGGTGTTCAATGGGCCACTTCACTTTGAATGGTTCCCATACTCTGTGGTAACTACTTATGCTAAGCTATCTGTTGTGTTTAGCTGACACTGAGTACCTTTCCCAGACCTGGGGAAGTGCTCTGTGTAACTCAAAAGCTTCTTTCACCAACAGAAGATGGTCCAATAAACAATAGTGTCTCACCCATCTTGTGCCTCTAACATTGTTTAGAGGAAAAGTAAAACTAACCATGCTACCCCCAGCTAACATGGGGGCAAATCTGGAGGAGTATTGACCACTCCCTGCTGGCCAAAGGAAGAAATTCCTCCTCCTAGAGCAATGGTCACTTACTGGTAGATCACTGAGAATGAGATCCACTCTCACAGGCTCCGTGATCGGCCAGTCAATCATGATATGGTTGCTAACCCTTTTGCAGCCAAACGGGGAGTGGCATGGGGACAGGGCACACAAGGAAGCCTGCCTTAGCCCCGCTGTGCCGCTGCCACCTCAGGTAAGCGGCACCCAGCTGGAGTCTGCACCCCTACCTGCACCGAAACCCCCTCCCAGAGCCCATACCCTGCACCCCAACCCACTGCCTGAGCCCCCTCCTGAAGCCAGCACCCCATCCTACACCCCAACCTCCTGCTCCAGCCCTGAGCTCCCTCCCAGAGGCTGCACCCTGAGCCCCCTCCTACACATCTGCCCCAGGCTCAGCCTGGAGCCCCTCCCACACTCCAAACTCTCAGCCCTAGCCCAGACCCCACACCCCAACACCCTGTCTCAGCCCAGCGAAAGTGAGTGAGGGTGAGGGAAAGCGAGCAAGGGGGGGGTGGAGTGAGTGGTGTGGGGCTTCAGAGAAGGGGCGGGCCAAGGTTGTGGCCCTGGGGGAAGAGGTGGGCAGGGCAAGGGGGTTTGTGTGATTACTGTTTCTACATTTTCTTTGAGGTAGATCCTGGGTTGCACTTAAATTCAAAAGGTGATCTTGTGCTTAAAAAAGTTGGAGATCACTGTCCTAGAGGAACCAGTCCTTACCCATTACTGATATAAATACAGGTGCTCAGAATTCTTGTACATACAAGTAAAGAGAAAATCCCAGTTTCCTGGAAATTTGCTTTCTGCCTAAATCCCTCTGTGTTTTCACATAGCTATTGGTACTCTCTTCACTTCCCTTTCTAAATCCATCTAATGTAGCAGAGCACTGCTCATAGTATGTTTAAAATATCCTTCCTGAGTGGCATGTTGAGGGTATATAATATGGGGGGAGGGGTGTGTGTGTGTGTATATAATAGGGGGGGTGTATGCCTCATGTCATCCCAGTAAAAGATATACACCTTAAAAGTCATTTTGGTGACCAATAAAAAGCTGGACAGTGGCAAAATAACCCTTTTATATTTCTACAATTTTCAATCTTGACATTCAATTTTGTAATCTCATATCTTCAGTGTTTTAAAGGAAAATCATTTTAACTATTCCTTTCAAAAAAGGATGATATTACACTTGCAATTTCAAAGTTGTAACTTCATCTAAGTTACTACCAGAAGCTATCCGGTTTGCTGCAGGAATTACTGGATAGAATTTTATGGCCTGTTAGATAGGAAGTCAGAGTAGCTTATTATAGCCTTAAAACATGCAATGAGTCTTTTCATTCAATGTGAGCTGGAGTGGCCAGAGTAGCAATATCAAAGAAGAAACTTACTGGAAAGCTATGCCTAATGCTGGATCAGGAGAAGAAAAACCATTCTGACTAAATATGAAGTGTTAATTTTCAGTGTTTTGTCTTTGCACAGCAGTGGCATTGGTATAACAAATCCAGGTAAGCTGGTGTAGCTTTTGTGTATAGATTCTTACAGGTTTAAAACTGGTCACTGATCTTTAGCTCAGACCTGTAAACTTAGCAGTGCAAGCTAATCAGCTACAACCCAGGACTGAACAGTGAACGTGTGTGTGTGTTACATTCAACTAAATCAATATATAATAACACTTTTTCGCCTTGGTCTACACTAGGAGTTGAGGTCAAATTTAGCAGCATTAAGTCAATTTAACCCTGCACCCGTCCACACGATAAAGCCTTTTTCTCGACTTAAAGGGCTCTTAAAATTTATTTCCTTACTCCACCCCCAACAAGGGGATTAGCGCTGAAATCGGCCTTGCCGGGTCAAATTTGGGGTACTGTGGACACAATTAGATGGTATTGGCCTCTGGGAGCTATCCCAGAGTGCTCCATTGTGACTGCTCTGGGCAGCACTGTCAACCCAGATGCACTGGCCAGGTAGACAGGAAAAGACCTGCGAACTTTTGAATTTCAATTTCCTGTTTGGCCAGCATGGCAAGCTGCAAGTGAGCACAGAGCTCTTCAGCAGAGGTGACCATGATGGCGTCCCAGAATCTCAAAAGAGCTCCAGCATGGACCGAACGGGAGGTACGGGATCTGATCGCTGTATGGGGAGAGGAATCCATGCTATCAGAACTCTTTTGCAGTTTTCAAAATGCCAAAACATTTGTCAAAATCTCCCAGGGCATGAAGGACAGAGGCCATAACAGGGACCTGAAGTAGTGCTGCATGAAACTTAAGGAGCTGAGGCAAGCCTATCAGAAAACCAGAGAGGCAAACGGCCGCTCTGGGACAGAGCCCAAAACATGCCGCTTCCATGATGGGCTGCATGCCATTTTAGGGGGTTCAGCCACCACTACCCCAGCCATGTTTGACTCCTTCAATGGAGAGGGAGGCAACACAGAAGCAGGTTTTGGGGACAAGGAAGATGATGATGATTGCTCACAGCAAGTAAGCAGAGAAACCAGTTTTCCCGACAGCCAGGAACTGTTTCTCACCCTGGACCTGGAGCCAGTACCCCCCGAACCCACCCAAGGCTGCCTCCCAGACCTGCCAGGAGGAGAAGGGACCTCTGGTGAGTGTACCTTTTAAAATACTATACATGGTTTAAAAGCAAGCATGTTTAATGATTAATTTGCCCTGGCATTCATGGCTCTCCTGGATGTACTCCCAAAGCCTTTGCAAAAGGTTTCTGGGGAGGGCAGCCTTATTCCATCCACCACAGTAGGACACTTTACCACTCCAGGCCAGTAGCACATACTCAGGAATCATTATCGAATAAAGCATTGCAGTGTATGTTTGCTGGCGTTCAAACAACATCCGTTCTTTATCTCTCTCTGTTATCCTCAAGAGAGTGATATCATTCATGGTCACCTGGTTGAAATAGGGTGCTTTTCTGAAGGGGACATTCAGAGGTGCCCATTCCTGCTACACTGTTTGCCTGTAGTTGAACAGAAATGTTCCCCGCTGTTAGCCACGCGCTGGGGGGGAGGCAAAATGTGACTTTGGAACGAAAGCACATGTGCTGTGTATGTAATGTTAACAGCAAGGTTTACCGTGAAAGAGTGTACTCATTGTTCTATAAAATGTCTTTTTAAATACCACTGTCCTTTTCTTCTCCACCAGCTGCATGTGTTTCAAGGATCACAGGATCTTCTCCTTCCCAGAGGCTAGCGAAGATTAGAAGGTGAAAAAAGCACACTCGCAATGAAATGTTCTCTGAGCTCATGCTGTCCTCCTGCACTGTCAGAGCACAGACAAATGCGTGGAGGCAGACAATGTCAGAGTGCAGGAAAGTGCAAAATGACCGGGAGGAGAGGTGGCGGGCTGAAGAGAGTAAGTGACGGGCTGAAGACAGGGCTGAAGCTGAAAGGTGGCGGCAGCATGATGAGAGGAGGCAGGATTCAATGCTGAGGCTGCTGGAGGATCAAACTAATATGCTCCAGCCTATGGTTGAGCTTCAGGAAAGGCAGCTGGAGCACAGACTGCCCCTACAGCCCCTGTGTAACCAACCGCCCTCCTCCCTAAGTTCCATAGCCTCCTCACCCAGATGCCCAAGAACATGGTGGGGGGGCATCCAGCCACTCCACACCAGAGGATTGCCCAAGCAACAGAAGTCTGGCTTTCAATAAGTTTTAAAGTGCTGTGTGGCCTTGTCCTTCCTTCCTCCACCACCCCTACTGGTGCTTCTGTCCTCCACCACCCCTCCTGGGCTACCTTGGTAGTTATCCCCCTATTTGTGTGATGAATGAATAAAGAATGCATGAATGTGAAGCAACAATGACTTTATTGCCTCTGCAAGTGCTGATCGAAGGGAGGAGGGGAGGGTGGTTAGCTTACAGGGAAGTAGAGTGAACCGAGGGGCGGGGTGGGGGGGTTTCATCAAGGAGAAACAAACAGAACTTTCACACCATAGCCTGGCCAGTCATGAAACTGGCTTTCAAAGCTTCTCTGATGCGCACCGCGCCCTCCTGTGCTCTTCTAACCACCCTGGTGTCTGGCTGTCCGTAACCAGCAGCCAGGCGATTTGCCTCAACCTCCCACCCTGCTATAAAAGTCTCCCCCTCACTCTCACAGATATTGTGGAGCACACAGCAAGCAATAATAACAGTGGGAATATTGGTTTCGCTGAGGTCTAAGCGAGTCAGTAAACTGCACCAGCATGCTTTTAAACGTCCAAATGCACATTCTACCACCATTCTGCACTTGCTCAGCCTATAGTTGAACAGCTCCTGACAACTGTCCAGGCTGCCTGTGTAAGGCTTCATGAGCCATGGCATTAAGGGGTAGGCTGGGTCCCCAAGGATAACTATAGGCATTTCAACATCCCCAACAGTTTTCTGGTCTGGAAAGTAAGTCCCGTGCTGCAGCTGTTGAAACAGATCAGAGTTCCTGAAGATGCAAGGGTCATGTACCTTTCCTGGCCATCTCACATTGATGTTGGTGAAATGTCCCTTGTGATCCACCAGTGCTTGCAGCACCACTGAAAAGTATCCGTTTCTGTTTATGTACTCGCCGGCTTGGTGCTCCGGTCCCAAGATAGGGATATGGGTTCTGTCTATGGCCCCACCACAGTTAGGGAATCCTATTGCAGCAAAGCCATCCACCAGGACCTGCACATTTCCCAGACTCACTACCCTTGATATTAGCAGCTCAGTGATAGCGTTTGGCTACTTGCATCACAGCAGCCCCCACAGTCAATTTGCCTACTCCAAACTGATTCCCGGCCGACCAGTAGCTGTCTGGCATTGCAAGCTTCCACAGGGCTATCGCCACTCGCTTCTCAACTGTGAGGGCTGCTCTCCTCTTGGTATTCTTGCGCTTCAGGGCAGGGGAAAGCAAGTCACAAAGTTCCATGAAAGTGCCCTTACGCATGTGAAAGTTTTGCAGCCACTGGGAATCATCCCAGACCCGCAACACTATGCGGTCCCACCAGTCTGTGCTTGTTTCCTGGGCCCGGAATCAGTGTTCCATGGCATGAATCTGTTCAACTGACACCATGATGTGCACATTGCAGGGGCCCGTACTTTGTGAGAAGTCTGTGTCCATGTCCTCATCACTCTCGTCACCATGCTGACGTCATCTACGCGCCTGGTTTCGCTTTGTCAGGTTCTGGTGCTGCATATGCTGCTGGATAATGCGTGTGGTGTTTAATGTGCTCTTAATTGCCAAAGTGATCTGAGTGGGCTCCGTGGTATGGCGTCTGCACAGAAAAAAGGTGCGGAACGATTGTCTGCTGTTGCTCTGACGGAGGGAGGAGCGACTGATGACATGGCTTACAGTGAATTAAAATCAATAAAGGGGGTGGCTTTGTGAGAAACAGAGGGGCCCCCTTAAGGATAGAACTCAAAACCTCAAGGATAGAACTCAAAACTGGGTTTAGCAGGCTGTTGATTTCACAGAGGGAGAGAGGAGAAAATGAATACAAAACAAATCTGGTCTATTTCTTGTTTTGATCCACTTCATCTATCTTTATACATCTTGCTGGCAGCAGACTGTGCAGTATGACCGCTAGCCATTGTCATCTCCTGGGTGCTGGGCAGAAGACGGTGCAGTATGACTGCTGGCCATCATCTTCTCCTGGCTGCAGATGAAAAGACAGTGCACTGCCGGTAGGACTGAATCACCATGAGACAAAACTTAAAAGGGAAATGACTTGGCTAAATCACTCCCATGTTTGCCCACGTGCTCCTGACTTCAGCAAGGTCGGTTAAAAGAGCACCCTGGACTACGTCAATGACGGCTACCAGTCATACTGCACTGTCTGCTGCCAAAAGGCAATAAACTGTTGCTGTGTAGCAATGCAGTACCACGTCTGCCAGCACCCAGGAGACATACGGTGACAGTGAGCTGAGCGGGCTCCATGCTTGCCTTGGTATGGCGTCTGCACAGGTAACTCAAGAAAAAAGGCATAAAACAATTGTCTGCCATTGCTTTCACGGAGGGAGGGAGGGAAGGGGGGGCCTGATGATATGTACCCAGAACCACTCACGACAATGTTTTAGCCCCATCAGGCACTGGGATTTCTACCCAGAATTCAAATGGGTGGCAGAGACTGCAGGAACTGTGGGATAGCTACCCACCGTGTAACGCTCTGGAAGTCAATGCTTGCCTCGGTACTGTGGACACACTCCCCCGACTACATGCACTTAGAGCATTTGTGTGGGGACACACACAATTGACTGTATAAAAATGCTTTCTACAAAACAGACTTCTATAAATTTGACCCTAATTTCATAGTGTAGACATACCCTTAGTTAAATGGGTATGACTGTGTGTAGACCAGGCCTTAAAGACCTTGGCCCAGATTGTCATAGAGTGTAAATTGAGTTAGGCATATTTATACTAGCTGAGGATCTGACCTATCAGTTGCAAACTCTAGATTTCTAAGTGTAAAACTTCCTTATAGGTTATGTAGAGATGGCACATGAAAGAAGTATCCCTCTGGTGTATTAAATGGGTTATCTTTCAATGCAGAGAATAGATATGGGAGAAGGGATGGGGGGAAATGCCCAAAATTTATAAGTTAAGAAGCCCCTCAGTCTCAGTTAAACTGCTGAATGGTAAATCATTAACTATAGTGGGCCAGAGCAAAGGACCTCCCTATTCCTGCTACTGAGTAGTTGCTCACAAGTAGCCCCATTGAAGCAAATAGGAATTATTGATGAGGAGAACCACTCACCAATGGGAGTGTTCAAGGAGCCTTGTGTATTGGGTCATGTCTCTTTGCCAACCTAACTTTTGAATCCTTTAATCCCTTGTCCTCTGATCTTATTCAGCTCAAGATAGTTACCTTTTGAATGAGAGAAATTAGTGGTGTGACTCTAATTAGGAAAATACACACATTAGAAGATACTCAGGATCTTTACTTTCTGAATACTTTCAGAGGACAGTAGAAAGCACTACCCGTTGCCCTACATTAGTGAGGGTAGAAAGAGCTCCTGCACAGTATTTCTGCCATGAGATACTGCAGTAGTCACACATATGAACTTGAACACTGCTCCAGTGAGATTTTTCCATGCAGTAATTGTAGCAGATGTGTATGTCTTCTGGGCAGGCAGCACAGGAGAGTGGGAGGGGGAGAATTAATGGACAGGACATGCTTGTGAAAAGAGTCAGAGGATTTCCATGTGCTGCCACCTGCCCAGCAATAATTAATTACTTAAGTTGCTTTAAAATTAAACCACATAAAGTGCTGGAGGATACAAGTCAATATCAACAAGAAGACTAGGCCAATGACTTAATAGGTCCTCCCCAGCTCTAACTTCTACCGCTGTGGAACACTTTCATCTTGCCCAATAAAAACCCAAATTTCCTACCAGATCCGCTAATGCTACTTCACTGAAGCCCAAAGGAGCTGCACATGCATATCCAAGGAGCGAATTGGTCCCTAAGGGACATATATAGCCTCAGAAATGACCCATCCTTGCTGATGGTGGGGAGGGAGGTACAGTGAGGGCAGCTGGCTTCAGCAGTGTTGCTGAGCATGCTCAGTAACAACTAAGCAGTAAATTTTGGGGGGCATGTGACCCTACATAACCCACTGACCCTGCATTGCCTTGAGTCTCCAATGGATGCCAATGGGAATTGAAAGTATGAATCCAAGTACTGGGTCCCTAATTTTTCCAAATCTCTGAAGACAAAGGGGGGAATGGGAAGAAATGAACTTGGTTATGTTGACTTGTTTCTTATTTTCAGTCCCCTTGTAAGCAGACTCACTTGAGCTATTTTAAACAAGTTCAAATCCAGCTGCCAAGTCAGGGAACTTGCCAGTGTGAGGACATGAAAGCTTGTGGCATTGAATGCATCCCTCCATAATGCCAATAGATGGTTATTCTTTCCAAATGATGGTAAACAAATGGGTGTAGGGGGATTTTAAAGTGCTAGGAGTCCTTAGAGGGCCCAAGGAGAACTCTTCTCTAGTCAAATATATTTCATTTATACAAGGCAAATTACTATGGTAGAATCACATAGGCTGGAAGTTATTTACTTAGATGTAAATCACTCTCATTTACAAAATAGCATATTAGCATGTGTAGACATGCAACTGGCTGGTGAAAAAAACACAGAATAGCTGTGGTCTATTTCCTCCTGATTCACAACTGCAAATTATAAAAGTTCATGAAAAGAACTCTCCAGGCATAAAGCAGAAACGTCCATTGGCTAAAAGTGTAAGTCTCGTCTTCTATCGTGAGACTGGACACCTGAAAAATACAGCAATATAAAAGTAGTCAGTGTCTAGTACAGCATGAACATACATGAATCCTTACAATGTTTTAAAGAAATTTTATTTTTTGGCACCTGGCGGTCATTTCATTGGGACTATTTTAGTTCCGAGATAAATCACATCACTGAAAGTATAAAGAAGCCATGTGACCAGAACAACCTCCCAAATGTGGGACAAAGAGCTAAGGTGAGACACAGGCAACAATAATGGAAGCCTGAAGGATCTGGGGATTATTGCTCTGCTAGCACTAGCATTGTCTGTCACCGCTGCTGTAGGGTCTGGTGTTTCTAATATCTCTGCTAAAGAAATGAGCTAGCACTAGAGTTGTGTAGGATGAGAGTAAATCTGCCCAAGAGGTAGACAGTTGAGAAACACAGATATGAGGTGTCCTGACTAGCATAGCAAAACCACCATCTCCGCAAAGAAACATGACTATTCTTAGAAGCATGTAACACCTGGAACTATACCTTGTTGAAGATTACAGGGGCTCATTCTAAGTTCATTTACAGTGGTGTAACTCCACTGACTTCAGTGGGATTGCACTTGATTTCAGGGGTGCTGGCACAATTTGTATAGTGTGTGTGTGGGGGGGGGGGGGGGGGGGGCTGAGAGCCATTGAACCAAACTGTAAACCCTGGATATGGTAGAAACTTCTTCAAGCCAAGGGGTGCGGTAGCACCCCTAGTTCTAGCACCTATGCTCAACTTATACCAGGGTAAGAGAGATCAGAATCAGGCCCAGGGTCTCATCTTTTGTATCCTTCTGAGAGTATGAAATGTGGTCAATACACTAGATGAACACTTACAGGTAATTAGCAGGGGACACTATTATAGAAACTCGGTTGGAGGGGAGGGGAGACTTGCCAATAAACAGAGATGTAAAAGGCTCCATCATTTACATGTTCTCCCCATGCCTTCTCCTCCCCCCCCCCCCCCCACGAATGTAAGTGAAGCAGAGCATTGTGTATTCGTTTAAAAAAAAAATAATTCTAAAACAAAGTCCAAAACCAAGAGAGGAAATTAAGCTTTAGCTTTGTGAGAAGTCAAGACAAATATATTTTTGAGTCAAGATTTATTCATGCAAGAACTGCTGGTTCCATTACCTACCTGAACTGGCAAGACTGATGCTGGGGTTTCCTGGGCTTTGATAGGAGCTGGCTTTCCTTTCTTAATTTTAAGGGGAAAAAATGTCATAAGCTGGAGTGACACAACACTAAAAGTAGAACACACAGGCAGTAGTGCGTACACGAAACATTGTGCTTTTGCAACCCAGCTTTTGGCACAGGTGTTGCAGGACCATTGCATGGCATTATGTGCTTTTATAAATGTAAACATTAGCAGTTCTAGAAAAACATCCCTAGTGCATTGAGAAGTATCCTCTCTCAGTTAGAGCCAAGAACTAGAAGTAAGAATTCTTGTGGCCTGATTATAGACTGCCAGGGGAGGAGCTGCACACATCCCAGAGCTGTAATGACTCACTGTGTGAACTTGAGCAAGTAACTTCATTTTTCTGTGCTGCAGATTGCCCATCTGCACAGTGGTGTACTTCACAGCGCTGTTAGAGCTTTTCAAACATATTAAAGCCTTGTGAGATCGTCAAAGGGAAGGCAGTAGTTGGAAAATAGCAACCTTTTCCCCCCGCCCCAACAGTTTTTCCCCTGACCTTTTGATTTTTAAAGTTTCAACCAGCTCTGGTGTTAGCAGTATTGCTTCTCTGTCCTGGTCCTATGCTTGCTCACCCAGACTTCATGAAATGCTTCCTGTTAGTGCAAGAGTGAGTTCCATAGGCTTTAATACCCAGACCCACACTGCCAGGCCTTAATTAGAATTCCATAGGTCCAGAGCACATCTTTAATGTAGTAAGAACATCACTTCGTATTTGCAAATATTAACAATGGCAAACATTACACCCTGCAAGGAGAAATCTAGGAAAGACACGTGCAATGTAAACACAAAGCTAAATCCGTCTATTAATGGACCTAAAGCAAAAAATCTCAGTTGCAAAAACCCACACTGCGTGTTCCATCTGCGGTCTGAGAACAAAGACTCTCCGCAGTCTGACTTGAGAATCTCATTTCTCCTTTTCAGCTCCACTAACTTTAGCAATGCTGGAACCCTTAGCAGAGCTGGGATGGCAGCCTGTCCAGGCAAATGGGAGGCGGAGCGTTCACCTGTTTATATTCATGGCTGGGTATTTTTAAAAACACCTTCTACTCTAAATTGCTATGTTGATATATCATTGCCCCTTCCAGCTATGGACATTCAGCTGTCCGGCCCATGCTAGATGTGCTACATGTTCCACAGTGTCTCTTTTAAGGAGTTTTAAAAACCATTTTCTTGTGAAATTAATGGGGAGAAAGGGCCAGGTTGACAGCCCTGGCTGGAGGAGTCCTGTATTAACCCAGAGAACAGGGATGGCATAGGTAGCAGCAGTGCCAGCATCCCCACCAGTGTGTCCAACCTAGCCCGGAGGGACATTAAGGGGAGAACTTTAGGGTCCATGTCTGTTCAGTCCTAGGTGGGACAGACTCATAATGGTGCCAATTAGTCCCAACTGCAGTGGCTGATTTTGCGATGTGGGCGCCAGGGAAATGGACTAAAATCATCTCTCATGGGTCCCTGAATGGTGTAAATTTTAGTCACTAAGCTCCTTAGGGCAGGGATCATCTTTTTGTTCAGTGACTGGTGCCTATCTGAATGGGATCACCTATGGTTGCAACCATGTTACAAATAACTAACTACCAGATTTCTCTGTTGGCTGAGTTTGTCTGAAGCTGTTCTGTCGTACGTCTCTGGCCCCCATCACCATAGCATTGGAGTGCCTCACAGTCTTTCATGTATTTTTATCCTCATGTCTGCTCTGGGAGCATAGCAGTGCTATCAACCCCATTTTACAGATAGGAACAGAGAGACTAAGTGACTTGTTCAAGGTGTCACAGGAAGGCTGTGGCAGAGCAGGGACTTGAACCCAGGTCTTCTAAATCCTAGTGTCTTAACCCCTGGACTTAACCCCTTTCAGCAAGGAACGGTTATAGCCATAGTGTGAATTACACCCTGTCTATAGAGTGTACTGAACATCATGTTAAATATTTATTCAGTAGTGTTTGAAGTGAATATTAGTGCCATTTCCTGGGTCTGGCTAGGAGACAAGCATGGCTCAAGAACCAGCCTTTTACCCCAATTGTTGTTGTAACAATCAGAAACTGGGGAAGGGAAAAAAGTTAGGCACATGGACATTTTTTTAATGGGTGCTGTATAAGCATTAATTATACCCCATATACAGTAACTGAAATCACAAGTGTCAGATTGCTCAAATAATATCTAAACATTCCACTCCATTTATAGCCAGACTCTGAGCACCCAGCACACACCCAGCTGTTTGTTACACACTTTGAGGTCTACTGGTGAAAAGTGATATGTAAGAGGTAGGGGCGCGCAATCATTTGTGTGTGTTCTGAATATATTATAGCTTACTTACATATTTGGTATCTCCTCAACATAACAGAGGGGAAAGAGCTGTGCAAGAAACTTTCGAGGAAACAATTATGGTGCTACACTATGCAGCAAATACACAATTCCCAAGTACTACAGTACGTTTCATTGATGCTCCGTTAAAAATACTTTCAGCCACGGGCTTTGAATTGTTAACTTATGACCTTGTCTCTTGTATCATTTTAGCTTGCTATAAAAGGGACATTATTGGGGTGTGATATTGATTAATGTGTATTGCTTATTGTGCTAAACACATGTAGTTTCTATGTAAAGGGTCAACTGAATACGTATCTCTCTCTTGCAAATCAAGTCAGCCCTGTAATAAGAGAGAAATTTTGTGAGAGAAATTTCTGTATAGCCCGCTTTTTTGAAAGAACCTGTGAAAATCAATAAGTAAGTATGTGATTATTAATAGACAAAGGTGAAAGGTTTATAGTTTCGTTATTTGATCAGGCTACAGAATGAACTGGATTAAAAGGAAGCTAGACCAGGGGTGGGCAAACAAGCGCCCGTGGGCTGGATCCGGCCTCTCAGGGCTTTGTATCTGGCCTGTGGGACTGCCCCCTATGGTGCCACAGGCCCCACACCAGCACCACATCCCTGGGACCCCGGGTGGAGGGGGGCAGAGGGCTCCGTGCATTGCCCTTGCCTCCAGGTACTGGGATAGCTCAGGGGTTTGAGCACTGGCCTGCTAAACCCAGGTTGTGACTTCAGTCCTTGAGGGGGCCATTTAGGGATCTGGGGAGTTGGGGAATGGTCCTGCTTTGAGCAGGGGGTTGGACTAGATGATCTCCTGAGGTCCCTTCCAACCCTGATATTCTATGATTCTACTGCCCCCTGCAGCTCCCATTGGCCGTGGTTCCCCGTTCCCAGCCAACGGGAGCTTCAGGAGTGGTACCTGCAGGCATAGCAAGGGCAGTGCATGGAGCCCTGTGCCCCCTCTCCCCCAGGGGCCGCACAGGGACGTGGTGCCAGCTGCTTCCTGGAGTGGCACAGCTTGGGGCCAAGGCAGGCATGCAGGGAGCCTGCCCTGGTCCTGGTGTGAGCCACTTTAGGTAAGTGGGGCCGGGCCGGAGCCAAACCCAAACCCCTCCTGCATCCCGCCACCCAACTCCCTGCCCTGAGCCCCCTGCCTCATCCTGCACCCCTTCTGAGCCCCCTCATACACCCCACAGCCCTCCTCTGCCCCAATCCCTTGCCCTGAGCCCGTTCCTGCACACCACACCCCAACCCCCTGCCCCGGCCCTGCATACAATTTCCCCACCCAGATGTGGCCCTCGGCCCAAAAAGCTTGCCCACCCCTGAGCTAGACTGAATGAGTCTGCTTTTACCACCTTCAGGCATAGATTTTTATTTTTCATTTACAAGGGCAAAGCACAGTAAAAGGAATAGTAAATATTTTCTTACCTCCCCCGGGAGTTAAACTTTGACTCATATTTTGTAACCTAGCTGATCCAGTAATACAGGCTGAGCTAGAGCTTTGCTTCACGGTAGATTCCTGGCTAGATGCTGGGCACCTTTCCTGTTGCAGAAAATCAAGAAGAGAACCATATTTCCCATCAGACATTGGTCCCTGCACCATAGGAGGGTCAGGCAAGGAGCGAGGATATCCTGAATCAGTAAGACTTGGATTAGCTATCGAAGGGAAGTGCCACAAATCTGCAGGCTGAATAGGAGGATTCCGCAGAACTGATGCCTGATGGTGGTCTGTAGCAGCAGCCAACAAATTCAGATCAGAATTTGATAGGTTTGTAGCAGGAGATGATTGATATGACTTGGTCCAATGAGAAGAGAAATTCCACTGATGGGGAGGCATGTGGCTATCTAGTTTTAAAGAAAAGTGTTTGAAGCGTTATTGAAGTCTTTATTTACTTTTCCAAGACAAATTCCAATGGACTTTTATAGAAATTCTATCTAAGTAAGGGCTGCAAAATTTCATCCAGATTACATAAAAGGAAACTTACAATAATTGGCTTATTTACTACAATACTAGTTTTAAAAAACAAATCTACACTAAAATAGACTAACCTAGAAAGTCACGACCACCTCTAACTGTGAATATGAAACATCTCAGGCATTTTTCCTGAGGGGTGGGTGGCATCGGGTTCCTCAATGTCTGAAATTTTTTGTCTTAAATCCTGCAGCAGCCCTGATTAACTACCTTCCCTACCTGCCCACCTTCTGGGGAAGAGTAGCCAATCAGAGGAGGTTTCCCTGCAGACAGGGCTGAAATTTGGGTGGAGGGCTGGAGCTTCTTGTGTCATGGCAAGACAAACGCTCTCCAGTTTAATTTAAAAAAATATATATATGAAATGATGTAATACATTGGAGACCTTCTTCATAAGGTAGGGCCCCGATCCTGCACTTGGGCCCATGCAGAGATTTACTGAGGATCCACGCAGTTGGACCCAATGGCTTACCCATGAAATCCTAGGTACAAGATCAGGTCTTTGAAAGAATGATTTCACTCTTGATCAGAATTAAATGTGATAATTTGGTCCTCTGCGTCTAAATGTCCCAGCATAGCTCTCTAGTGAGTTAAACAGCAGCATTGCATTGAAAAACACACTCATGGAAAACTGCTCACCATTCTTCAGGATAACATCCTCACTCTTGTGCTTTGTGCTCAGATCTTGTGGGTTCTTGGCATTGCTTAATGCTCTAGAAAAGTGTTCATCTATCACACTGTTAAGGTCCCCTTGAAAGTAAGTAAATACAACACTCTGAGACCCCCATTCTGTTTTCACAGGCTGTTTGCTTTTACTCAGTGTTGGCGAGTTTTTCCTTTCTGCTTCCATCTTCAGTAACTAGCCGTGCCTATGAACAAAAACAAGGACTTCTGAACCAAGATTGTATTGCCAGTGTTGGGTTTGATTGTCTTCCCGCTGAAGCTAGTAGAATTTGAAGGACCGCTTTCAGTAGAAGCAGGGTCAGATCCTGTATCTGGGCTCCTGTTTGCTACACTCACCCTTTTCCCACCAATTTGCACAAGGACCTACAAATCCTGTGTGTATAGTTGCTAGCTCAAATTTGATGGGTGCACATGGGTATCTGTACAGGGATTAAAAGAGCTTAATGATGCCAACTGGCCAGGTTGGTCCTTGCAGTAAGTTTTTTTATAATCCATAGGTGCAAAGGCTGGTATGGGGATGGATAAATTTATTTCTGCTACATAGTTTCTATGCATGTGTAGGACCAATGGCTGGAGCTCCCAAATAAGGCAGAAAGAAAGGGTGAGGTGGGAGGGAACCAGTGACATGAGCTGTTCACTCACTCGGCAGTCCTCTTTTGGAAGGCACTGTGCCTAGACTCCATGTGTCCTGCACAGTATTATCCAAGTCACAAAAAGGGAGCCTGGTGGTCCATTGGCATCAGCTCTAGGAAGGAATGGTGTCCACCTGGCCAAGCTAGCAAAAATAGTATTAAGATGGTCTTAGCCAGCAACCACTGTGCCTGTCTCTCAGGCACTCTATGCTGTCTCATGGGGGTGCCACAGAACCATTACAGAAGCTACTTGACCATTACCCTTCATGTTAAATTAATATTTAGCCTGAGGATCAAAGAGTGCACTTGAGGGATCCTCAACACACTCCAACGTTTGTTTAAAATAGCACTTTCAAGCTTATACAGTAAAAATATTGCTTGCACACAAGCAAATAGATGGATACAAGGTAATAGCTATGCCATACTAGCGTCAGAAGTATTTGCAAAAGCTCTAGATTTATGACCACGTGTCTATATTTTCTGAACAGCTGCAAGTTAAATTTGTTTGCTTGGCACACTCTACTCATTTTCTATCATTTAAAATCAGTGCTGGCGAGTGCCTGCTTGGCATCAGTTATTGTTCCTCTGGACAGACTGTAGTACAGGAGCTATTCTTTGCAACCTCTGCAGGAGATGGCATGGTCTAGTGTTTAGCATGGGAACCTGGAAATTAGAACTATGGGGGTCCCGTTATTGTCTGTTGCAGGCACACAATTCCCATAGAGGTCAATGGAAGTGGCATGGATGCAATAAGTGAGCTCAAAAGTTCTGTGCTATCTGGAACTTCAACCCTGACTATGCCAAATTCAGAAATGTCAGACTTTAAAAAAACAAACCCCACCAACCTCATAATTTGGCCACCAAATTGTGAGGCTTAATTTTTTTTGTCTTAATTCCTGTACCAGTCCTGACTGGCTACTCTTCCCCAGAAGGTGGGCAGGTATGGAAGGCAACTAATCAGAAGAGGTTTTCCCTACAGGCAGGGCTGAAGCTTCTCATAGTCATGGCAAGACAACTTCTAGTCCCAGCTGAAATCACAAGGGTTGGCAATACTGACTTACTGTGTGACCTTCAAGCAAGTCGCTTCACTTATTCCATTAATAAAATGGGATATCACCTTCTCCTAGCTCACAGAGAAGGTCAGAAAATGGAATTTCTGTTCCCCAGGATATTCAGACATGCTGAAATTTATTTTCCTCCAAAATCAGGACAAAGCCAAATCTTGAAATATTCCACAAAAATTCTAAAATGACCTTGTCAAAACACTTTAGCCAACAAGGTTGAAACTTTTTAAACTTCATTTTATAAAGTTAATTTTTTAAAGTCAAAATGAAATGTCTAAATTAAATACTCCACTTTGAATTTTTCCCTCAAATGTTGTCAAAGTTAACACATTCTCACAAAACACCTTGAGGCTGATGAACAGCATTGTGCAATGGAAGTGGTGTTGAATTTTTTGACAAACTCTGCTCTGAGGTATTACAGTTGATTCACTAATGTCTGGGAAATGCTTTGAGATTCTTTAAGGAACAGATCTCAAAGAATGGCTCTGGCTCCATTGTCTTGCTACCATCCGAATGTTATCTCAGAGAGGGAAAGGAAAACCCTACACTATGTTCTCTTATGACACTTACTTCAGTGGAGCTTAGAAACGTAGTTCCTTACACGTTCATATTAGACTATCAAGTGACAAACCAAACACAAACTGATGATGCTATATTTATTTCATTTGGGGGAGGAAACAAGCCTTGGCCCAGCTCAGATATTCCAAATCAGGGAATTCCCAAAGACTTTCAAATCCTGACTCAGGATTAAATTACATCTTGCCACACACAAATGAATGCCCCTATCTATATAAGCTTTTCCCTATTAGAGGCAGGATATTTTAACTATTTATAAATTGCCATATGAGAAATCCTTTGATTACCATATAGTGGACATTCCAAGGCACTGATAGGAGTATATTTATTCATACTAGGCAAACTGAGACCAGTATTTCCCTCATTTTAAAAAAAATCTTTTACTGGATAGGTGTAAGCACTGATTAAATTTGCCATCGGTTTCAGTGTGTATCATTAGCAAAGGGACTGTATTTTGGAAAGTGATACTGAAGAGACTTGGAGGCTGGTGGATAACCAACTCAACTTGAGCTCCCAGTATGGTGCTGCAGTTAAGAAAGCTAAGATCTATGGATGCATACATAACCAGAGGAATATCAAGTGGCAGTAGGGAGATGGTATTACCTCTCTATACAGCATAGGTGCAATCTTTGGTGGAATAGTGTGTCCAATTCTGGTGTCCACACTTTAAAAAGGACATTGACAAACTGGAAAAGGTTTAGAAAAGATACAATAATGAGGTCTGGAAAACCTGCCTTACTGTGAGACTACAGCAGCTCAGTATTTATCTTATCCAGAGAAAGATAAAGAGGTGACTTGATCAGTCTTTACATACCTATGTGGGAATTAAATTTCTGATCTGACTCAAGCAGAAAGACATAATGAAATCAAATGGCTGGAAGTTAAAGCTGGACATATTCAGACTAAAAATTAGGTGCAATTAAAAATTTTGAGACCACCTTATGTTTATACACATTTCCTAGCACAAAGAGGTCCTGCTTCATGATTGAGGCCTCTAGATGCAATCACAAAAATTAATAAATGGGAAGGCTCATGCCTCAAAGAGCTTGGACTCCAACACCACCAGAAAAGCACACTATTCCTACTTGATTTTCCACTGTCATTGTTCATACTCTGCCCCAAACAGCACAGCTGATTTACCTTAGTGAAGAAAAGTGGCTTTTACTTTGCCTTGATTTGGGAAATCCCAGGCCCACGGGCAGCTGCATCATGTAAATTCTAGTATGAATCATTAAGTGGGTCTCTCTCCATCTGAGTCCACAGGTGATTTTTTTTCAGTCTAGTGGAAGGGATCATGCTCAGGGTCACTTGCTGCCAGAGCACTTGCAGGGGTCAAATCTATTCCATGCCTCCCTTTTAGAGGGATGGCAAGCACACTGTCATTGGACTCCCCCCTAATGAATGCTCTTTTGAAAACACCTGTTCCAAGACGATTGCCTCCATTATTTGTGCTTACACATGTTAAAAGTTCATTAAGTTTGCAAGCATTCAATTTCCAGGCCAAAGGACTACTTCTTTCATTACAAATCACTGATAATGTCCCTAGGTCACCCTAGTTAACCATCCTCGATCTATTCATGACTTTAAATTGCATCCTCAGGCAGGCTTTTTTTTCCAGTATGAGTTGCTGAACATCTTCAACTCCTCTCACTTAGTGAAAAGGGCTGCGTAGTTACAGCACTAGACAAGATGGCAACAAAGTACTACTAGAAGATAATTAGTATCTAGTTTTTCATACCATGCTCATACCCATGGTATCTGAGCACCTAAAACCATGACATTTTTTTGAAGCCAACTTATGGCAACAGAATCATGGCCAATATAATTTCTATCTACCCATCCCCTAGAACGAACTGTTTGGACAAGGTTTGGGTGATAGGGAGGTTGACAGTACAAGATTTGGGAGCACTGTACAGTATGTTAACTACCCCAACCTTAACTTCCCACTCCTCCATCTCCAGCAGGAAGACTGCAAAGAGGTAGCATACATTGCTTTCAGGGCAAATGGTCACAGAGCTGGAAGCCACTAGTTTGCTTACCTACCACAAACAACTGTCAAAATGTATTTAAGAGGAATGTATTGGTTCAGTGTGGAAGAGTACAAACAGGGTAGGATTTAAGATTTTTTTTTTTTAAAAAAAAACAATCTCTTATTGAAATACAAGAAGAGACTTATTGCCTTAAATTGGGTCCCCCAACTATGGTGAGACTTGGTGCAGGTAAGAACATAAAAACTGCCATACTGGGTCAGACCAAAGGTCCATCTAGCCCAGTATCCTGTCTTCTGACAGTGGCCAGTGGAGGTGCCCCAGAGGGAATGAACAGGTAATCATTAAGTGATCCGTCCCGTCGTCCATTCCCACCTTCTGGTTGTATAAAGTTCATTTGCTCTTGGAGAGCAAAGGTGTGTAGCTAGCAAGTTCCTATGAACCCGAATGGTCAGAGTTGCTGCAGATGACAAAGTTCTGCGCTGGTTCTCAAACAGACAGCATCTCACAGAGCAACTTTGTCCTCTGTTCCCTGCTGCCCAGAGACTCAGAACTGCCTGGAAAAAAATTCTCCTTTTTCTCACTGTTTTTCCAAGCAGCATGCAAACAGTTCAGTGAAAAAGCCTCACCCTTTACCAAATAAATGTGGAGAAGATAATGTAAGAGGATTGGTACCATGACAGGATTCTCTTACCTTATTTTACTGCCTTCAATTGATCCACACTGGGAGACTATCAACACTCTGAACAGTCATGCTGTGACATTCAGTGAAGTCTGTGATCCTTTCCCAGCATGGACGTACTGCACTTTGCAGCAGAATGTAGGGAGTGTGCATGAACTCCCTAGCTGTGACTGAGCTAGGCGTTTCCTTCAACCTTGTTACTAAGAATGCATGAAATGCACTCCAACAAGTCAACCGGGTTAGGAGGTTTCAGGAATGAGGAAAATAGGCTTTTAAAAATAGGATTTTGTTCACAATGTGTACACAATCAAGGAGACAATATCTGCATTGAAGAATAGTTCCTAGTAAAAAGAAACGTGGCAAAGAACCACTGGGTACATGACCAGAGTCAAAAATGTTACCTTCTTACAAAAGGTCAGACATACTTGAAGTCATTTACATAGATTGTATTCAACATTGAAGAGGAAAGGTTGCTGGGAGTGGCACCTAAGATGCCCTATTTTCCATTTTCCCTTTCTCCTATCCGACCTTACATCCCTCTGTTTTCTGGTCCTTCTGAAGTGATGGCTATAGCCATGTATGTGGGTACAACAAAAAGCATCTGTTCAACAGAATACAATAGTTAAGTTGCTTGCTTAACTTTCTCTGTCCTAAACACTTTCTACCCTGTCATCTTGATGCGAGTTATCCAGCAGAAACTGAAATATGACAGGGTGGAATGAAGTTTGGTTTCAGTCTGCCCATCCATCTTCAGAATCTTTTATAGTACTGAGAGAAAAAAATATATAGTATTGTAAAGTAACCTTACCAGAGATACAAAGTCTGGCTCTAAAATATCAGTATATATGTATACATGCATTAAAATTACTGTGCAACCACAAGTTATAAATATTCATTCATGCTGTCTTATCAACAAAAAGCTTACATAACAAATGGAATGAGAAATTAGCCTAAATACATTCTTTCAAACACTGATCAGAGAAGCAAAGACTGGCTTGTTTATAAGTTTGTTTATTAAAAAGGTAGTATGAAAACACAACCCCTTTAAGAAACAAAAAAAATTCAAGACAAATCAAGAGCTTCTTTGATTCTGTCACAGGGCTAGAAATTATAAGTATGAAGGAATATTTAAAAAATTTACGTTTCAGAATGAGAGAATTTTAAATGGCAAATTCAATTTAGCTTTAAGGGAAAGCCAATTAGAACAACTCAGTTAATTTACTGAAAGACAATCTTACATTACTACAGTAGTATTACATAATGGGTCAGTGCAAAAAATGTAACACTAGCCATGAAAGCCATTTTGTATTTCTATAACTATATTTGATAGCACTTTCAGAATACCTTAATACCAAAAACTTCAAGCCCTGCATAATCCAGCACACTCACACATCAATTTAACATGACTTCCTTAATATACAAAATTTAATTTGTCATACTACAGCATATTTTCTCAATTTCAGAAAAAAATAAAACTGATGTTGAGTCTAATGAAAAATCTAAAGCAGTGTGATGTCTTAGAAGGAATTTAGTCTGGTTGTAATACAGAGTTTAAGATGTGGATACTAATTCACTGTAGAATTCAAAGGTCAGTGTAGTTTTATGAAGCACCTAATACCTGTACACTTTAGTGAACTGGGATTAAATATTCAAAAAAATTAAATAGTTTAGCCTTGTGAATGAAATCTGGGACAAGTTTTTAGGTCAAAATGCACTGCATTTAATACATTAATGATTTTAAGCAAATTGCAATCCCTGAACAAAATAAAACGTATATTAAGGATTGAAATTCAGTTAAGAGTTGAGTATATCCAGCTGTATTTTAAAAGTGAAAGTCAGCAGGAGCAACAAACATTTTGATGCAAAATGAAACTAAACTATCCCTACACCTCCTCTCTTCAGACATGTACATGCAAATGTGAAAAACACTTAAATCTGCTCCTTTGGGGCTCCCCCCCCCCGTTTCCAGTCTAATCTTTGCATTGTACTTACCGGTAATTGGTTTAGTACAGTATTACCACCTCTTATGCACATAAGCATCTATGAATCATTATATTATTATTCAATTATTAAATGACAGATCAGTATAATTTGGCCCTTCAATACAAAATAAGGAATAGGTTAGAACTTGGCAATATTATCTACACTTTATATAAGTGAAAACTATTTAATATTTCACCCCTTTGTATTTAAATTATTTTAAATACACTCAGTGCTTTACCACTATCTAAATCTACGAGCAGGATCTTCAGAAAGCAGCTCTTTGAATTAGAGCTACATTGATTACTGGCAAATCATTTCAATTTACTGCTAGACCAGAAACAGTTGGCCTTTTCATAAGACACTATAATATTTTTTAAAAAAAGGGGGGATAACTTCTTGAAATGTTCACTTCTGACAAGACCTGTTTTCTCTGCTAACTGTAACAACTTCATAAAGGTATTTAGGCAGAAACAGCACACATCAGATTAGGAAAACAGCTTTCAAAAGCTAAGGTTTAAGGTAGGGTCTGAAAGAAAGCAGTATATTGACAGCACTTTGGAATGAAACATAAGGAAAACTAGAAACCCATATTGAATCCTGATCTTGCCATCTTTACTGAATTGAGGGGATCATGGACTCAATCCTATAAAACTGTACTCACAAGTGTAGTCTTCTTCAGTGGGACTGGTTATGTGAGAGTTTTGTGCGTCTCAGGCCACGTGACAAGACTCAGGTTTTCTGCTACTTTTGGATTGTAACCATGTAACAAACTATTTTGGGGGTAGATATTGTATTTTAGAAGTTTATTACTACATAGTCACTTGGCATAAAAACACTTACTAGAGGTCAAAAAAAATCATTGAACAATAACACATTTACAGGTTCTGCTTGTCTGCAGATCAGAGTTAAGAATTCGACATATCCACTAACTTATTGTACTAAAATATTATTCATGATCATGTGGTTCAAATTCATTTTTGTGATCACATGATTCTCTATAACCATATGGCAAACTAATTTCCCGTATAAGCTAATGAATTATGAAAACTTTCATAATTACTGTATATAATAAAAAGGGAAAGTACTCTAACTTAAAACCACTATTTACATAAACACCCCACTGGAAACGGTCATGTGTCTCACTATTTGTTTTCTATACATTATCACCATTCTTGTATAGTTCATGAATAAGCTGCTAGCTTTAAAAAAATATTTTCCCTACTTTCCTGTCCAAGTATAAAAGGTAGGTGAAGAGAGGTGTACCAACTTCAATATAATGTCTCAATTTAGACTGTTTGGCTAGAAGTGGAAACAAATGGTTCAGAATTTCAGGCAGTCATGAAAACAATTTATATTCTTAGAAATTATTTCAAAACGCCAGTAAAGTGGTTTTGTTTTGTTTTTTAGTTTTTGTTGGTGCTGTTTCCAGTCTGAAATAAGGAGAATTTAAAAAACTTACCCCACTCATTAAATTTCAGTAGCTGGGCAGGGCAATCAAATTTTAAATCAACTGAGGGGGAAGTTACTGTACATACACCAATTCCTTAGTTTTACATGGGTTTTTAAGCATACTGTTAAATAGTCAATACCAAATTATCTGATTTGACAGTAACTGATAAGGCATAGTACTGTAAAACATTAATTTCTCAAGCATTCTCTATAGCAATTTTGATTCCCTTTTTAATTGCTACGTTGAACTGCCCAGAATATTTTTTATAATTAATTAGGCCCTCTAGAAAGCTAACAGCATGCTAGCTTGACAGGTCCAAAGCCTAGAGTTTGGGAGCTAGAACAGAGAAGCACTGAAAACAATGCCCATGGTATTAAGCTGCATGTTACACACAGAAGCTTTAAGCATTCACATGTTTGTGGTCATGACAATGGTTAAGTACATACTGTACCAGCGGAAACATTTTAGGTTTAGAACTATATGGGCTAGAAGTAATTTGAATTTGACACTATGCATAATTATATGCTAACCAATATAGAATCCCTAAACAAATCAGAAGCACTTATTTTGCTAAGGTTTATAATTCATGATGTGCTCAAAGATGGGAAAAGAATCTACTGGGATAGTGAGAATTAAATGGTTTCCTCTCAATGGCATAATCAACTTTTAAAAATCCGCAAAGGGTATTTTATTTAAAAATTAAAAAATTGTCACACTAGTTTATAATAAATTAAAGTATCCATCAATTTAATACAATCAGGGGTTACAAGTCTGATAATAACTACTATTCTCTTATCTAGGTTGCTCATAAGGAAATAAGATGTAACCACAACGGCAAGTATTAATTTATACAAACTTATTGCCATAACCTACATAAACACACTGATTATCAAAAAAACTTTACTACAATGTAATTGTCCAGACAAATTCAAAAAAATCAAAGATAAGTACAGTATAAATTAAAGACAACCAAGGTCTTCTATCAAAATTGGTTAGGGAAAACAAATGGGAAATATGAGCACTAACACCCATAATCTCTCGCAACCCACTCTACTTTTTTCAAATAATCCAGAGCCAGTTCCAAATATTAACAGATATGTTCAGGAACTAGGGCCAACATTTTTAAACAGGGTGCCTAAAGTAATGTTCAAAAGTGCTCAGCATCCAAGCTGATCCATTGAAATCACTTTTGAACTTCAGACCACTTTACACATCTAATTAAGGCGGCTAACTTTAGGCATTGTTTTGAAATTCTTTGCCTAATTGAACAAAAATGTTTGTCAATTTAATGGCTAGTAAAACAAGAAAATATAAAAGGGCAACTAATTTTTGAAAAACATGTTCCCTGATATTCATACACTGTGTGACAACCTTGGGATTAAAGGTTAAAATCTTTTAAATTTTATTAAGTCTTTGGGGGAAGAGGCCCCTCAGGCTGTGAACTAAACCAAAAGCATTTATCTCAAAAAGAATATGGTACATATTGACCCCACACCCTACCAAAGTCTGAAAAAGCACTTCTTAGATTTAAGGCAAAAGAACCCCCAAAACCACATGTTCAATGTATAATTTTTATATGCTTTCAGCACATGGAAATACTCGTTCTACCGTCCGAATTTAAACTGAAGATTAGGTCAGTTTTATTTACATAGTGTTCCAGTGTTGAAGTGCTTACAGGTCTAATCTCAAAATACTCACAACTTGTTTACATCAATGGAAGATTCAAGAAGGAGATGACACCCCTCTATACTGAACATTCTGATTTTAAAACATCTTCTCACGTATCTGTGGCTCAGTGTAGGCTATGGCAAGAATTTTCAGTTTTGTAGACTGAACGACAATTTCATGCTCCATGATCTGCTATTTAAAATGCCTAATATGGCAATGCATGTACAGGGTGAATGTATTGGGCCTTACTGCAACAACTGTTCTGTAAAACTGTCAAAAGGAAGATACCAAGTTCCAAAAGTGTAAGGAACTAAAGCAAACATTAATATTGATTTTAATATCTTTGTATATTACTAAAATGTTTTAGATTCTGTGTAATTGTTCAAACTCTGGAGTTCACATACACTTCACATTTATATAATTTAAACACTGACAAGCAAGTATATGACATAAGAAGCCTGGTCAGTTCTGCTGTGCTCTTGAACAGCAGCCAATTAATATGAACTTTTTTTAGATCTTCATTAACTACTGCTTTTAATGAAAATTTCAAAGCACAAGCTGATGACATCAAATATGCATATAAACACATGAACACTGTCTGTAGTCACCCTGAAGCACAGGATAAGAGAAATCCAAACATCACCCTAAAAAGCATGCTTTCATAAAATATTAGAGATGTTATGTATCTGTTTCATCATCACTGCCTGCAAGGCTGCTGTCTGTTGATGGAGTGCCATCTTCATTAATGCCTTCACCATTATTCTCTCTCTTATGAGCTTCATCATTCACATCACCTTTAGATGTGCCATTATCTTTTGAAGGCTGATCTTCAGGCAGTTTCACACCACTAGCTGCAGAATTTGAAGCAGCTGCAATTTTCTGCTTTTCTGCATCAGACTCTCCTAAAAATGACCCCCACAGCTTGAGCCTTTCCTCTCTTTCTCTTGAGGTCTCCTCCACCTGTGTATAAATAAACCTTAATTAGGTTGGAGCAATTTTTTCACTTGGTATAAAAAAAAAATTAGTAGTTTACACTTAGTAAAACTATGCCACAGCTACTTTATTATAATCAACATTGACTGCATTAACACCATGAGGTTTCACTTGGGTCAGGGCCCATTGTGCTAGTTGTTAACGATCTGTTTGTACAGCAAGGAATAACATAAGAGTTTACGTTCAGTGTATAATTAAGATAACTGGGGCCTTTGAAAATTGGATTTTTAATAGAACAAAAAATAGGCCTGGTAGGACCCCAAATAATTGGCATCTGTAGGTAAGCCAGGCTTAATATTTGTCCCTTTGAAAAGAACATTTAAAATCCTGATTTTACTCAAATTTTAAATTTTGTTTCCTCTATTTTTAAAATTAAATAGATTAACAGTTAAGAATTTTTAGAAATTACAATTTGATAAAAAAAAAACCACCCCAAAATTAAGGATTACCTGATAATCTGTTGTACCATCCCATGTTTCAGCACTTAGCTGACGACCACCAAACCACCTTCCATTGAGAGCTTGTATGCACAGATCAGCTTCCTCTGGCTCTTTAAATGAAACAGAGGCCACACCATCTGGGTGTCGCTGTAAGAAAAAGACAAAACCCTATCGTTTAAATCTCTAAAACGGGAATTAAATTTCGTTCCAAAGATCTTTACTCTGCCCTTGTAAGAGATCAGGTACAGTTTTGTATGCAGACATATGCACAAGCCCATTCATGTGCATATACCTTTGAAATACATATCCTTCCATTCTTTTCAGATTTTGAAGCAGCATGATCTTTAGTACTTCACAATTAGGGTTTTCAGCTTTAGATTTTAAACAAAGCTACTTCAAATGTTTTTGTATACAGTCCAGTGTTAAAAAAAAAAAAAAAAAGCTGAATTTAGCTACTTGCAATTTCGTGGGTGCATGCTTTTCAACTTCTAATGCATATGTCCCCAAATCTGTCTGAGAAGCTGAATATTGCATCTAGACACAGGGGGAGCTAGAATATGCAGATGTGCAGTTTTTAACTTCACCTTTGTTAAAATGGAAAAAAATTCTGAATTAAGTTCTAGCACTGAAAATTTGAAAAATGAAATTAAGATTGCATGAAAAACAAATTTCAGAGAACCAGAAATCTTATTCATAATTTAAGGAGCATGAACATCATGTATATTTGATTTGAAAAGGTGACAATAATTATGACCATTCAACATAATAGAAAATACCTACATCAAATAAGAGAACCTTCTTTACTTCTCCAAACTTTTCACATTCCGTCCGTAGGTCTTCCCTGATCTCATTCAGTACTAAAGGATCTTCCTGTATAGAAATACATAAATATATGGATTTGTTTAAAAAAAAAAAAACAACTGAAAATTCCCTTAAATGTGTGTAAACTGCAAACTGGAATTCACACTCTAAGGTACTACAGTTTAAAGGAATAATAGTAGCCATGTATTATACAGGAAAACCACTAGTACTTTCCCTTATATAGTATGTTGCAAAATAATGACAATTGAAAATATTAAGAAATAAGCATGAAGCTTTGTTCCAAACAAATAGGAAACCAGTTTAAGTACTAACAGAAGTCTACCTCTAGGAATCAAATACTGCATTCTTTTCCAGACACCACCTCCCCAGAAAGCTTTATGAAATAGAGGAAGTTCAGAGAACAAAAGTGACCAGGGAGGAGCTGAAGGTTTAATGTGACCAGACATATTGATTTTTGAAATTATTTTGGTTTTAAAGAGCCAGTCTACAAGTCTCTGGTTTTATTGAAATTGGGATGACATCTCAATCCAAAGGATTTCTGACTGTCCTTTTCCATTCCCAGTGTACTACGGTATGTGCTTTAAAAATGTCAGGTCCTGCCTCTCAGTTACTGCTCAGCTGAGACTAAAATGTGTGGTGGAAGCATAAATCTACAGGCACTTAGAAGAAACCCTCTGAGGAATGAACAAGATTTAGTATTGTGAAATGGGATAATAGCTTGGAATAAAGGCAAATTTAGTATTGGTATCAGGGAAACTTCTTGATTGAAATAGGACACAATAAAAGCCTCATTGATTGGAACATCTAAAGCAACTTAAATTTCTAAAAATTTTCTAGAAAATAGTGAAATTATTCAAGAAACTACTCATCAGGCAGCCTCCTATTCTTAAGAGACCATGTCAAACTATCCCCAAATGCAGAGTACACATCCTATTGTGGCCACACTCCAGCAATATGAAGAATACGTATTACCTTCCTAACGCATAGTGCAATGTCTCTGCATATGCCCAAAACTATTAGAAAGACAAGGTGGGTGAGGTAATATTGGGTCAACTTCTGTTGGCAAAAGAGACGAGCTTTTGAGCTTACACAGACCTACAGCTACAGCCAAGCTTTTGAGCTTACACAGGGACCAATATAGCTACAACACAAGCGCAAACAAAACTACACCAAAAAGAAAAGGAATACTTGTGGCACCTTAGAGACTAACCAATTTATTTGAGCATGAGCTTTCGTGAGCCACAGCTCACTTCATCAGTGATGAAGTGAGCTGTGGCTCACGAAAGCTCATGCTCAAATAAATTGGTTAGTCTCTAAGGTGCCACAAGTACTCCTTTTCTTTTTTGCGAATACAGACTAACACGGCTGTTCCTCTGAAACCAAAACTACACCAGCCACTATGAACTAAACAGATCTAAATGGATCACATGGCAAACTCAGACCTAATTTGTGCACTTGCAGCATTCCTTTTCATATTATTTCTCAAATTCTGGACTGCTTTTTTCCAAATTAAATTGCACTTTCTAATTTTCTGTTCTTTCCTACACTCAGTGTTTTCTACTAGTATTTGCAACATCTCCTAC